GCAGCCCATGAAGGTCCACGGTGAAGCAGATGACCCCCTGCAGCCCATGGAGGTCCATGGTGGAGCAGATGACCCCCTGCAGCCCATGGAGGACTGCATGCCAGAGCGGGTGGATGCCCAAAGGAGGCTGTGACCCTGTGGAGAGATACCCCACACTGGAGCAGGCTCCTGGCAGGACTTGTAGTCCCATGGGCGACCCAGGCTGGAGCAGTGTGTCCCTGAAGGACTGCACCCCATGGAAAGGACCCAGGCTGGAGCAGTTCATTAAGAACTGCAGCCCGTGAGAAGGACCAACGCTGGAGAAGTTTGTGAAGGACTGTATCCCATGGGAGGGATCCCATGCCAGAGCAAGGGATGAGGAGCAGCCACAAAATATTATGAACTGACCACAACCTGCATTGCCCATCCCCCAGAGGTAGAAGAGTCAGGAGTGAAGTTGAGCCCATGAAAAAGTGGAGGAGGTGGTTTTTTTTAGATTTGTTCTTATTTCTCATTATCCTACTCTGATTACTTGGTAATAAATTAAATTAATTTCTCTCAAGTGAGTTTGTTTTGCCTGTGATGGTAATTGGTAAGTGATCTCCCTGTCCTTGTCTTGACCCAGGAGCTTTTCGTGGTATTTTTCTCCCCCTGTGCTGTTGTGAAGGGGGAGTCATAAAGCAGCTTGGTGGACACCTGGCAGCAAGGTCACCACCTTGTTAAATGGGATATTGAGTATGTGATGTGGACACCTGCCCCATTTGGGGCAGGGTCTGAGTCTCACCTATTTACTTCATGCAAGCCTTGGAATGATAACGGGAAAGAGAAATGCTTGTAGTCAGTAACCCCAAGGGTTGGATTGGAATTTGTGGTTTTGAGAGGAAAAAGTTTCCATATCCCATTACCCAAACCCCTTACCCATCCCATCCCACTGACCTGGACCTGGATTGGTGTCCTAGGAATGAACAAAGAGAATCCATATGCTATTCTCCTTCTCAATGGTATCACTTACTGGCAACTGGACAGACTGCATGTAGAACGCTGCTGGCATCTGAGCCACAACTGGAGAGGAGGCTGGGCTCTTCACCATGTGGGCTGTGCCTTGAACTTGTGCCAGATTCACTCCTGTGGTGAGAGGAGGAGCATCCTGTGAGGATGCTGGAGCTGAAGATGATGACGAGGAAGCAGCATGGGCTTGGGAAACAGGCTGGACCACGGCTGGCATTCCCCGGGATGTCGGCACCGCTGCAGCAATCTGAGCCAAACCCAGTGCTTGGGCTTGGCCTGAGCCCTGCTGCCGAGTACCCACCACCTGCACGGGGATGTGTGGTGGGGGCTGCTGCGTTGCTGACATTTTGACAGGCCCAAGCTGAGGTGGTTTGATGGGGGTGACCAGAGATTTTGACTGAATTGGAACAGGTGACTTGGTGGCTGGCTGGCAAGGACTGTCCTGCTGGAGCTGCACAGGCTGCGGCTGGGACTGCAACATGGGCTGCACCACAAGGGTCTGAGCCTGCTGCTGGGCTTGAGGAGGAGCCTGCTGCTGTGGAGGTTGAGCTTGCTGTTGCTGTTGGCTCAGAGATGGTGTTTGCTGTTGTTGCTGCTGTTGGGCCAGCTGAAGATGGGTGGCTGTGTGGAGGAGCTGGGACTGGCGGTGCTGGAACTGCTGCTGGTGATGAATGGCAATCTGCTGCTGGATCACCACCTGCTTCTGCAGGTGGATCTGCTGCTGCTGCTGGATCAGCGAGTGGGGCTGGATCTGTGTATATGTGGCTACAGAAACACAGAGTGGGAAGAGAGGAGAGTACAAAAGTTAGTTCCCAGTTAGTGGGAACAATGACAACAAAAAAGCAGGCAGCCACCGCTCTGTTTTGAGTCGTTAAGCTCCAAAATGACTGTCAGTTTACCAGCAGAGGACATGAGGGACTAAACCAACTTCTCTTGCTAATAGAGAAGGATAACCCCTAGAGACAACCCTCCAGGAGCACAGGCTGGCAGGTGTGTGGGGAAACCTCTCACCACTGGGCTTTCAAATGGCACTCTTGTGAAAGCCCCGTGGGCTCGAAGGGAAAGGTCTGCACTTACCTGAGCTGATCAAGGTCTGGCTGGGTGCTGGTGTAGCTGTCCTGGTGAGGTTCATGCCCACCGTCTGTTGTCCCCCGCTGTCCATTTCGCCTTTCTTTGAGGCTGCATTCTCTGTCTCCGTCTGGCTTCCCTGGCTGACGGTCACAGCCTGGGCAGCAGCTACCGGCAACGGCTGAACCACCCCCGTGCCTTTCCTTTGGCAACTGCCAGCGGTGCCTGCTGAGGAGGTCTGGCTCAATCCTGCTGAGGTCTGGCTGCCACCACTTGCCACCACACCCCCAGAGACACCATTGCTGCCTGTTGCCCCTTGGCTCAAGTTGAGGGACTGGCCTGTGCTGCCGGAGGAAGCCTGAGCCACTGCCAAGGTCTGGCCTGTGCTGGTGGCTTGAGGTAAGCCTGAAGTCTGAGAGCTTCCTGGCAGAGCTGCCTTCTGAGCAGAGCTTTGGAGCTGGGCATTGGTGGCTGAGGTCTGCTGGTTCCTCACAGCCAAGTTCTGCACCTAGAAACACATATACAAAACAGAACCTGTTTGTTTTAATTGCTGGAAGTCGGGCAGAAAATGCATAAGCAAGATGCTCTACTGGGATGCAAGCTAAGTTGATCATAGCATCACAGAACGGTTTGGGTGGGAAGGGACCTTTAAAGCTCATCTAGTTCAACCCCACCTGCTATGTGCAGGGACATCTTCAACCAAATCAGGCTGCTCAGAGCCCCATCCAACCTGACCTTGAATGTTTCCAGAGATGGGGCTTCTACCCCCTCTCTGGGCAACCTGGGCCATTGTGTCACCATCCTCATTGTGAAAAATTTCTTCTGTACACCTAGTCTAAATCTCCCCTCTTTTGGTTTCAAGCCATCACCCCTTGAGCTATCGCTACAGGCCCTGCTACAAACTCTGTCCCCATCTTTCTTATAAGCCACGTTCTGATACTGGGAGGCCGCTAGAAGGTCTCCCCAGAACTTTCTCTTCTCCAGGCTGAACAGCCCCAACTCTCTCAGCCTGTCCTCACAGCAGAGCTGCTCCAGCCCTCACATCATCCTCGTGGCCTCCTCTGGACTGGCTCCAGTAGCTCCATGTCCTTCTGCTGTTGGTGGCCCCAGCACTGGAGGCAGCACTGCAGGTGGGGTGTCAGGAGAGCGGAGTAGAGGAGCAGAATCCCCTCCCTCCACCTGCTGCCCACGCTGCTCTGGATGCAGCCCAGGACACGATTATTGGCCTTTGGGCTGTGAGCGCACGTTGCCGGCTCATGTCCCATTTTTCATGGCCCAGTACTCCCAAATCCTTCTCCTCAGGGCTGCTCTCAATCCCTCCATCCCCAGCCTGTATTGATAATCAGGGGTTGCCCCAACCCAGGTGCAGGACCTTGCACTTGGCCTTGTTGAACCTCAAGAGGTTCACATGGGCCCACTTCTCCCGTTCGTCCAGGTCCCTCTGGACATCTGCAAACTTGCTGAGGGTGCACTCAATCCCACTGTCCATGTCATTGGTGAAGATATGAAATAGTACTTGTCTCAACATGGACCTCTGAGGGACAATGCTTCAAGTCTCACCTGGGGAGCTGGCTAACACCGCTGGGCAAAGCTCAGGCACAGCCCACCCCAGGAATACATTATCCTAAACTCCCTCCTGCCCCATCTCTGACAGAAGTTATAGATCTCATGGTACTTTCTGAACAGCAGTTGAGGACACGCCATTCTCCAAGGCATGGGACAGCCTTCAGACCTGCCTACTCTGCCTTTGCATTGGTAGGACTCAGTTTATCGTGGCTCTAAAAGCGTTAAACACCCAGTCATTCCTTTTCAGTTTCTGTGCCACCTGCCTCCTCCCCCTGTGCAGGGTTTTCCACTCAGCAGGCCCACAGATCTATCCATGGCCTGCACTCCTTCTGATGTCACCAGTTCCTCTGCATTTTAGTGCTGCCATCCTCTGCATTTACTCCTCCTCCAAATGCAGCGTTATCTTCAAGTTTGACTATGGCTGACTGTCCTTCAAGGAAAGTCCTCCAGACATTAAAATATGAAGTAACTGGAAATCCCAAGAACAACTGGGATAGGACAAGGAAAATGGGAAGCCATGGTAGCTCCCTGACTGGAGAATTACTCAAAAATGATGTACAAGCTAAGACTTGGTAGCCTGTTCGGTGTTTGGCATCTTTACAACAAACCAGCTGGGTGAAGGAACACTACCACTGGCAAAGACTCTTCACTGCAGAGTAACTGAAAACTGGACATACAACTCAACAATTCTTCTCACGCAGGGACAATCAAGAAATTGTGAAGATGGGATTGATCCAGCCTGTGGTTCACCTTGGAAATTTTAAGCAGAAATTAATCCCATCTCTGGAGGCAAGAAGTAAATGTGAAAAAACGGTGGCAAGAGACAACAGAATCTCCTGTCTGCACATGGACACAGGTTGGGGATAAAATATAATTAATCTCCTACACAGGGATGGGTGGACACAAAGACAACACCAAACTGGGTGGGAGTGTTGATCTGCTGGAGGGTAGGGAGGCTCTGCAGAGGGACCTGGACAGGATGGATACATGGGCTGAGGCCAATGGTACGAAGTTCAATAAGGCCAAGGGCTGGGTCCTGCACCTTGGTCACAACAACCCCACGTAACACTACAGACCTGGGGAGGAGTGGCTG